TCTGTTTAACTTTAGACAGAACATGATGTCTGTTTAAACTTTAGACTAGAACATGATGTCTGTTTAAACTTTAGACTAGAACATGATGTCTGTTTAAACTTTAGACTAGAACATGATGTCTGTTTAAACTTTAGACTAGAGCATGATGTCTGTTTAAACTTTAGACTAGAACATGATGTCTGTTTAAACTTTAGACTAGAACATGATGTCTGTTTAAACTTTAGACTAGAACATGATGTCTGTTTAAACTTTAGACTAGAACATGATGTCTGTTTAAACTTTAGACTAGAGCATGATGTCTGTTTAAACTTTAGACTAGAGCATGATGTCTGTTTAAACTTTAGATTAGAGCATGATGTCTGTTTAAACTTTAGATTAGAGCATGATGTCTGTTTAAACTTTAGACTAGAACATGATGTCTGTTTAAACTTTAGACTAGAACATGATGTCTGTTTAAACTTTAGACTAGAACATGATGTCTGTTTAAGCTTTAGATTAGAGCATGATGTCTGTTTAAACTTTAGACTAGAGCATGATGTCTGTTTAAACTTTAGACTAGATGTCTGTTTAAACTTTAGACTAGAGCATGATGTCTGTTTAAACTTTAGACTAGAGCATGATGTCTGTTTAAACTTTAGACTAGAACATGATGTCTGTTTAAACTTTAGACTAGAACATGATGTCTGTTTAAACTTTAGACTAGAGCATGATGTCTGTTTAAACTTTAAACTAGAACATGATGTCTGTTTAAACTTTAGACTAGAACATGATGTCTGTTTAAACTTTAGACTAGAACATGATGTCTGTTTAAACTTTAGACTAGAACATGATGTCTGTTTAAACTTTAGACTAGAGCATGATGTCATGATGTTCTTTTTTCAGTAAAAATCTCACCTTTAACTTGGGCAATGACCGGAACAGACATTTCCTACAATATAAAAGTTAAAATATAATTAGATGACTGGATTAATAAATAAATCAAGTATTAACAATCAGAACCAAGAAACCCCCACTGGCGCCGCGTCTCCTTTACCCCCACTGGCGCCGCGTCTTACCCCAACTGGCGCCACGTCTCCTTTACCCCCACTGCCACCGCGTCTCCTGTACCCACACTGGCGCCAACCCCTATACCTCCACTGGCGCCCAGCCTTTAACCCCCACTGGCACCGCGTCTCCTTTACCCCCTGCCACCAATACAGTTGACTAACCTGTAATAAAGTCATGACATGTGTACAGCGTCTAAAAACTTCTTCATGGTGATGTCTACCATCTTCTTTCCTCTAAAATACCAAATAAAACAATTACACAAGATAGATTTTATAAACCCTAAACTTCAATAATGCTAATATTATCATTAAGATAAATTTTTAGTTATCTTTTTTAAGAGTGTTCAGATGAACAGTTGATTGCTAACTAGTTTCCTGTTTTCCGCAGAGCTGTCATTATTTATAGAGCGTTCAGATGAACAGTTGATTGCTAACTAGTTTCCTGTTTTCCGGAGAGCTGTCATTATTTATAGAGCGTTCAGATGAACAGTTGATTGCTAACTAGTTTCCTGTTTTCCGGAGAGCTGTCATTATTTATACAGCGTTCAGATGAACAGTTGATTGCTAACTAGTTTCCTGTTTTCCGGAGAGCTGTCATTATTTATACAGCGTTCAGATGAACAGCTGTCAAACGACTAAAGCTAAGGCAGGTTAAAGGGATATTCCGCTTTTTGTAAAAGTTTTCAATTATCAAAAACATCCTAAATTATACCTGAAAATATTTCTAAAATATGTTATTTATATCTATATATTTACTTGATCAAACTGAATGTGTTTTAAAAGGGTTAATTAAAAACTGAGAGTACTAATTATTAATTAGGAAGTTTGAACTAGTTTTGGTGTTTGGATTTATAATGACTTGATATTATTAGTTAAAATCTTTAGAATACGTAGGAGACATATTTTTCTACAATTAAGAGTTTTTTTCATCCAATTTTGAGCTGGCTTTATTTTTATGTCCGTATAAACGCTCACCAGTAAACCAGACTCGAAGTACGGTTGATAGTTAAGCTGGCTTAACTTTAGGCGTCTGAACGCTCTATTACCCTTCACTATTTTACAGGGAGTCATAATAACTTGAGTTCAAGATTAATCAGTCTGCAGATTTTTCCCTTAACACTCCTAGCCAAATATAGCCAATCCCTAACCCAATCTATAAATAAACATACCAATTCTGTTAAATCATGTCCTGCTGAAAATACTGGACCTGTAGCTGATAAAATAACAACTCGTAGACTTTTATTATCTTTACTTAAATCTTGCCACAGTTGATTCAACATTTCTAACGACAGGGCATTCCTATAATATATAACATTATAACATTACTATAGACAGGACATTACTATAATATATAACATTGTAACATTACTAAAGACAGTACATTACTATAATATATAACATTGTAACAATACTAAAGACAGGACATTACTATAATATATAACATTGTATCAATACTAAAGACAGGACATTACTATAATATATAACATTGTAACAATACTAAAGACAGGACATTACTATAATATATAACATTGTAACAATACTATAGACAGGACATTACTATAATATATAACATTATAACAATACTAAAGACAGGACATTACTATAATATATAACATTGTAACAATACTAAAGACAGGACATTACTATAATATATAACATTGTAACAATACTAAAGACAGGACATTACTATAATATATAACATTATAACAATACTAAAGACAGTGCATTCCTATAATATATAACATTATAACATTACTATAGACAGGACATTACTATAATATATAACATTGTAACAATACTAAAGACAGTACATTACTATAATATATAACATTGTATCAATACTAAAGACAGGACATTACTATAATATATAACATTATAACAATACTATAGACAGGACATTACTATAATATATAACATTGTAACCCTACTAAAGACAGGACATTACTATAATATATAACATTATAACAATACTAAAGACAGGACATTACTATAATATATAACATTGTAACAATACTATAGACAGGACATTACTATAATATATAACATTATAACAATACTAAAGACAGGACATTACTATAATATATCACATTGTAACAATACTATAGACAGGACATTACTATAATATATAACATTGTAACCCTACTAAAGACAGGACATTACTATAATATATAACATTATAACAATACTAAAGACAGGACATTACTATAATATATAACATTGTAACAATACTATAGACAGGACATTACTATAATATATAACATTATAACAATACTAAAGACAGGACATTACTATAATATATCACATTGTAACAATACTATAGACAGGACATTACTATAATATATAACATTGTATCAATACTATAGACAGGACATTACTATAATATATCACATTGTAACAATACTATAGACAGGACATTACTATAATATATCACATTGTAACAATACTATAGACAGGACATTACTATAATATATAACATTGTATCAATACTAAAGACAGTACATTACTATAATATATAACATTGTAACAACACTACAGACGGGACATTACTATGATATATAACATTATAACAATACTAAAGACAGTACATTACTATAATATATAACATTGTAACAATACTAAAGACAGTACATTACTATAATATATAACATTGTAACAATACTATAGACAGGACATTCCTATAATATATAACATTGTAACAATACTAAAGACAGTACATTACTATAATATATAACATTGTAACAATACTATAGACAGGACATTCCTATAATATATAACATTGTAACAATACTAAAGACAGGACATTACTATAATATATAACATTGTAACCCTACTAAAGACAGGACATTACTATAATATATAACATTATAACAATACTAAAGACAGGACATTACTATAATATATAACATTGTATCAATACTAAAGACAGGACATTACTATGATATATAACATGGTAACAACACTAAAGACAGGACATTACTATGATATATAACATTGTATCAACACTAAAGACAGGACATTACTATAATATATAACATTGTAACAACACTAAAGACAGTACATTACTATAATATATAACATTGTATCAATACTAAAGACAGGACATTACTATAATATATAACATTGTATCAATACTAAGGACAGGACATTCCTATAATATATAACATTGTAACAATACTAAAGACAGGACATTACTATAATATATAACATTGTAACAATACTAAAGACAGTACATTACTATAATATATAACATTGTATCAATACTAAAGACAGGACATTACTATAATATATAACATTGTAACAATACTAAAGACAGTACATTACTATAATATATAACATTATAACATTACTATAGACAGGACATTACTATAATATATAACATTATAACAATACTAAAGACAGGACATTACTATAATATATAACATTGTATCAATACTAAAGACAGGACATTCCTATAATATATAACATTATAACAATACTAAAGACAGGACATTACTATAATATATAACATTGTAACAACACTAAAGACAGGACATTACTATAATATATAACATTGTAACAATACTAAAGACAGGACATTACTATAATATATAACATTGTAACAATACTAAAGACAGGACATTACTATAATATATAACATTATAACAATACTAAAGACAGTACATTACTATAATATATAACATTGTAACAATACTAAAGACAGTACATTACTATAATATATAACATTGTAACAACACTAAAGACAGGGCATTCCTATAATATATAACATTGTAACAATACTAAAGACAGGACATTACTATAATATATAACATTGTATCAATACTAAAGACAGGGCATTCATATAATATATAACATTGTATCAATACTAAAGACAGGGCATTCCTATAATATATAACATTGTAACAATACTAAAGACAGTACATTACTATAATATATAACATTGTAACATTACTAAAGACAGTACATTACTATAATATATAACATTGTATCAATACTAAAGACAGGACATTACTATAATATATAACATTGTAACAATACTAAAGACAGTACATTACTATAATATATAACATTGTAACATTACTAAAGACAGGACATTACTATAATATATAACATTGTAACAACACTAAAGACAGGACATTACTATAATATATAACATTGTAACAATACTATAGACAGGACATTACTATAATATATAACATTGTATCAATACTAAAGACAGGACATTCCTATAATATATAACATTGTAACAATACTAAAGACAGGACATTACTATAATATATAACATGATAACAATACTATAGACAGTACATTACTATAATATATAACATTATAACAATACTAAAGACAGGACATTACTATAATATATAACATTGTAACAATACTAAAGACAGGACATTACTATAATATATAACATGGTAACAATACTATAGACAGTACATTACTATAATATGTAACATTGTAACATTACTAAAGGTGGGGCATTCCTGAAATATACATTGTAACATTACTAAAGATTTTTACCTTTTCTTTGGATTATTGAGACAAATCGTACGAATTCCATCCTTTTCACTCACTAATGTCAATGGTTCACTTTTGGCATCAATGCTGTAATTCTGATGACCTGCCAATGTTCTGGTAACCTGTAAGATATAAAAATAGCAATGGCCATTGTTATACACCTACAATTGTAATGGCAGCCAAGTCATCCGGGCGGTTGACAAGAGCTATCAGTAAATAAACTATTTCTAGAGTAATATTTTCATACAGTCAAGTAACCTAATTTCGTGCTAACCTATTTTTCGTGCATTTCCGCAAAGGATTAATAATCTACATGTGCGACCTCACGTGACCTCAGCATTTACTTGTTTTGATAAACATGGGTTATCAGCTAGTAGAATGAATCCAGTAGTTTC